TTAGGATTATGTTTTCCAATGTGCATTACTTTGCATTTATCAACATTGAATTTCATCTGCCATTTTGTTTCCCAGTCACCCAGTTTTGAGAGATCCTTTTGTAGCTCTTCGCAGTCTGCCTGGGATTTAACTATCTTGACTCATATTGCACCAATTACACATTTCTGTGAAATAGTAACTGATCTATTTAATAGTGCATTGCTTCCTGAAGTGCCAGGACCCAATACCATGTAATAGAGGGGGTCTGTGTTTTCCCAAATGGAAAAATCTGTCCCATATTCACATTTGAATCACAATGTTCCATCAGAACTAATACCCACTGAACAATATTCTGTGAGACCAAGGTCACGTAATTGGATCCACGAACATGGACCCCTCTTCTCTATAGAAGAGCCTTAAATATTTAAACACCACCTTCATGGGAGCATGTCATAAATTTTAAATACAGTAGAATCTCAGAGTTACACCAGAATTGTGAACTGACTGGTCAACCATACATTTAATTTGTAACTGGTAGTTTGCAATCAGGCAGTAGAGAGGAAAAAAAGGCAGTACAGTATTGTTAAACTACTGTAAAAAAAAAAAAAAGGAAAGTGTAAACATTTTTTGACAAGGTAAGTAAGGAAATTGTTTCTGTGCAAGTTTCATTTAAATTAAGACGGTTAAAAGAGTATTTTTCTTCTGCATAGCAAAGTTTCAAAGCTGTACTAACTCAATGTTCAGTTGTAAATTTTTAAAGAACAACCATAACGTTTTGTTCAGAGTTACAAACACTTCAGATCTATGAACAACCTCCATTCCTGAGGTGTTCGTAACTCTGAGGTTCTACTGTAGTGTAGACAGACATGGAAACTACGTAACTGTCAATTGCACTTCATTCTGCCTGTATCCTTATCCACTTCAAGATGCTGCTCCTGTTCTTAAGTGTAGCAAGTGACAATATACTCATCCTTTTAATTTAGTTTCCACTTTCTAAAACTTAGAGGACATCATGTTCAAAATACTTACTTAAAAATTAATGTATTCATTTGACAAGCATGAAACAGCATCTTAGTTCAGTAAACATCTTTTTATTTTCAGTATTTAGTTTATCTCTAGATTAAAATTGTCCAGACAATTGAATTTATATTTAATAAATAGGAATGAACGTCTGTCTTAGATTTATTAGAGCTACTAGTCCTTTCAAGTCTACAACCTCTGACAAAGTATTAACACTATCTGCCAAAAATGAGGTAATTAATTGTCTGCATATAATTCAAGTAAAGATGAAAAAAATGTCAGGAATGAAGGTCTGGTGCTGCGCTTGCCCAGTCATCAGGCAGCCAACAAGCAAGCCACCTTGCTGCTATAGCCAGTTAGGTGGTTCTGCTGTAGCCCAGCTGCATTTGATGGTTGCCTGATGACTTGGCAGGTACAACTGCAGACCTAGCTTTTGGGGTTTACTTGAATGATACGCAGAACCTTAGTTACATCATTTTTGGCAGATACTTTTACTACTTTGTCAGAGGTTGTAGAGCTGAAAGGGCTGGTAGTTCTAAGATAAAAACTTATGTCATTTCAGATTCATGAACATTGTTCTAAAGAAATCTTTCATAGTGCAGAGATGTTATGCAAGGTAATAAAATAGAAAAGTTTTCCCAAGTGGTTTTTTACAGCATCAAAAACAGTTGATGGCACACTGTTAATGTCAGCAGTCTGCTTGCAAGCATTCTAACAGTATAGTTCGCTACTGCAAGGATGTACAGTATATTGGCAGAACTTCAAGTGGCTAGATGGCACAGAAGAAGAATAAGTGTACTCTTATGACTCAGGAAAGATTCTCACAAATGCCCTGAGGACCTAAAATGTTGCTGTCTGTGCAGATGTAGAGTGGGCCTTTACATGGATTCTTAAAGAAACATTCACTTCAGTAAATCTGTTCACTAGCACTGCATTACACCTGTTGTTTTACTGAGATCAACCCAGAGCTGTAGTTAATTTACTGATATAGCACCTGAATCTATGAGTTGCTGATTGCCTCTTGAGAGCACAGGGTGTGCTACAAAGTGTGGTTAAAATTGCCTTCTCAGTTTTTGCATCGCTAGAGCATTACTTCCAAATACTCTTCTGCATAAGAGAATGAGGCTTTCACTGAGAAGTGTTAGAGACACAAAGTGGGTGAGGTAATATCTTTTATTGGACCAACTTCAGTTGGCACAAGTGACAAGCTTTTGAGTCACAGAGCTCTTCGGATTTGTCTTAAAATGACTTTATGTAAACTTCAGTAGCCTAGGATCTCATTGTGGAAAAAGCACTTTTCATCTTGGTGCACAAACATGGATGTGAAAGCTGGAGTTTCCACCTTTTCACAAAACCAGCTAAAAGTAAACCATCAGTTTTTGTGTTCACATTTTTTCAAAGAATTATAATATAGTGGATGCTAGTTCATCATAATCCTGAAACTAATACAACTGTACCTCGATATAACGCTGTCCTCAGGAGCCAAAAAATCTTACCATGTTATAGGTGAAACCGCGTTATATTGAACTTGCTTTGATCCACCGGACTGCGCAGCCCCGCCTCCCCTGGAGCACTGCTTTATCTCGTTATATCCAAATTCGTGTTATATTGGGTGGCATTATATCGAGGTAGCGGTGTAGTAACATTTTGGGAGCCGATCTTGTCCCATTGACTTTAATGTTAATGGGATTCGGATATTGGCATCAGGCATGCTGTTTATTAACAACTTTTTTGAAAAAAGTCATTAATCACTAGCAAATGTGTGGGGTTGCAACCAGGGAAAGAAGTGCTAAAGCTGCATGTTACCTCTTCCTGCACTCCCCAGGCTGCGTCCTGCCTTGATACTGGGGGCTAGCACTTCTTCCTTTGGTTGCAGCCCCACAAACTTGCTTGCATCTGGGCACCCACTGCTTGCACAGGAGATAATGGGTTGGGGCATTAGGGAAGTCCCTGCCAGAGTCTTGGCACTGTGGGCTGGGAGGGAAGGCTGCAGGCAGGGCAGCAGCAGGGAGAAGGGCTGCAGCCCAGATGCTGGGGCTTTCCACAGAGAGTGGACGGGCTGGGGCCCCTGAGGCTTCCTGGCACCTCTCCCTGTGCTCTCGGGGCTGCATCCTGCCTTGGTAGTGGATTGCTACATCCTAGTATTGCCTTCCCTGACTTAAGGCTGCATGCGGGTTTATGGGGCTGCAGCAAGGAAATGAAGCACTGGGACATGCCACGCACCAGCCACAGACAGATTTGCAGGACTGCAAGGATGGATGTACTCAAGTGCAACACACCATTATTGCCACCAAGTGAAACTTCAGAGAGTGTTAAATGCTAGTCCCGCATGTTTCAGGAGCAGCATATAGTCAAGGATCTTCAGTATTGTGGCCTCTAATAGGTTGACATTGCTTTGAGCTACCCATACAGGGTAAGCCTACTCTGGGAGAGAGGGGGGAAAATCAAAAAAATAACGGGTAGATGCTCCCGCTTGGGGTGGAACTGAGACTGAGAGACTGTTGGGGTAAGGATCACAGTCTTCCCTTAACTCACAAACCAATGATCTCTCCTTCTGCTTCAGGGAGTGTCCTTTAAAAGCTACTGATTCCTTTTGATCGCCTCCCTTGTCAGAGAACAAATTATTTTTTTTAATCTGTTTATAGCCCTTTGATCTGTTAGTTCCTAGCACTGGCAAAACAGTTGTGTAATTGAGTAGGTGGTAGGTTCTAGGATCCTGGAAGCTAATAGCTTTTCCCATTGTCTTTCAGGTATATGCCAGGATGTTCTTATCTGGGGGAGTCATTCTGTTGTCTTCCTGCTTGTTCTTCCAACTGTCCCCAGTGAAGGCATATAACAGGGGTCGGCAACCTTTCAGAAGTGGTGTGCCGAGTCTTCATTTATTCATTCTAATTTAAGGTTTCGCGTGCCAGTAATAGATTTTAACGTTTTTAGAAAGTCTCTATAAGTCTATAATATATAACTAAACTATTGTTATATGTAAAGTAAATAAGGTTTTTAAAATGTTTAAGAAGCTTCATTTAAAATTAAATTAAAATGCAGAACCCCCCCCAGACTGGTGGCCAGGACCCAGGCAGTGTGAGTGCCACTGAAAATCAGCTCTCATGCCGCCTTTGGCACGCGTGCCATAGGTTGCCTACCCCTGGCATATAACAAACATTGCACTAACCTTCATGTAGTTATACAGTCTATCTCCATAAATGTCACAGTATTCATAAGATTATCAAATAGCAGCTGTGTCCACCTCATCCCCTTCATCAAATGTACCTAATTAATAACTTCTGTATAACTTATAATTCTCATTAATCTTAACTACTATATCAATCTTTTTTCTCTTTCCTCTAAAATCTAGAGGACAAAGTTTCTTCTCTCTCCTCTCAAGAATTTTCAGGGCCGAACACTAAATAAATGATAAATGCCCTTTTGTGTTATCTTAGTATAGTTTTTTTTAACTCTAATTCTGTGTTCTTGAGGAATCTCTCAATTTCCTTTTTTAGAGTCAATTCATTATTAAAGATCTCCTCAGAAATACTAGGGCACAGATTAGTTAGCATCAGTGTTCCATGGATAAAGGCCATATTTAATATGTTGGTGTACAGCAATGGTCCATTTCTGTCAGCAATTCCAGTCCCATAAACATGCATCATAGGATAGAAAAATAGTCTGTGCAGATTAAGTAAAATATCTTTTTTTAATTGCAGGTAGAGAACGCAAGGAAGCATTACAATATACAGATTTCTCGATTAACAGAAGAACTTTCTGCTCTTCAAATGGTACGTTCTGGACTGTGTTGAAAATAACTTTTATTGGTCAGAAATTTTTTTGAATACCTTTTTGTTACATGGACACATGTCCATTTGTATTTATCTATTACCGTGCACTCTATTTACAAGTATCACTGATATAAGAATCAGCTGCATATAGTGATCAAAACCACGGGGACAAAATCATTCATATATGAACTAAAATACCCACTTATAAGAATCAACCATTTTTAAGAATCGAATAATTTCAGAGAAGAACATAACTACGACCATATTGGGTCAGACCAAAGGTCCATCAAGCCCAGTATCCTGTCCACTGACAGTGGCCAATGGCAGGTGCCCCAAAGGGAATGAACAGACAGGTTATCATCAAGTGATCCATGCCCTGTCACCCAATCCCAGCTTCTGGCAAACAGAGGCTAGGGACACCCTTCCTGCCCATCCTGGCTAATAGCCATTGATGGACCTATCGTCCATGAATCTATCTAGGTCTCTTTTGAACCCTGTTATAGTATTGGCCTTCATAACTCCCTCTGGCAAGGAGTTCCAAAGGTTGACATTGCGTTGCATGAAAAAATACTTTTTTGTGTTTGTTCTAAACCTGCTACCTATTAATTTCATTTGGTGGCCCCTTGTTCTTGTATTATGAGGAAGAGTAAATAACACTTCCTTATTTACTTTCTCTATACCACTCATGATTTTATAGACCTCTATAATGTCCCCCATTAGTTGCCTCTTTTCCAAGCTGAAAAGTCCCAGTTGCATTAATCTCTCCTCATACGGAAGCCGTTCTATACCCCTAATCATTTTTGTTGCCCTTTTCTGAACCTTTTCCAATTCCGATATACCTTTTTTGAGATGGGGCAACCACATCTGCATGCAGTATTCAAGGTGTGGGTGTACCATGGATTTATATAGAGGCAATATGATATTTTCTGTCTTATTATGTATCCCTTTCTTGATGATTCCCAACATTCTGTTCGCTTTTTTGACTGCCGCTGCACATTGAGTGAATGATTTCAGAGAACAATCCACAATGACTCCAAGATCTCTTTCTTGAGTGGTAGCAGCTAATTTTGACCCTATCATTGTATATGTATAGTTAGGATTATGTTTTCCAATGTGCATTACTTTGCATTTATCAACATTCAATTTCATCTGCCATTTTGTTTCCCAATCACCCAGTTTTGAGAGATCCTTTTGTAGCTCTTCGCAGTCTGCCTGGGACTTAATTATCTTGAGAAGTTTTGTATCATTTGCAAATTTTGCCACCTCACTGTTTACCCCTTTTTCCAGATTGTTTATGAATATGTTAAATAGGACTGGATCCAGTACAGATCCCTGGGGGACACCACTATTTACCCCTCTCCATTCTGAAAACTGACCATTTATTCCTACCCTTTGTTTCCTATCTTTTAACCAGTTACCAATCCGTGAGAGAACCTTCCCTCTTATCCCATGACTGCTTATTTTGCTTAAGAGCCATTGGTGAGGGACCTTGTCAAAGGCTTTCTGAAAATCTAAATAGATAGATGTGATTCTTATAAAAGGTGTACACTGTAATGGATATGTAAACTTAAACATATAAGAAAAAATCTGTTTTAGACTTTCAGTAGGGCTGATGGAATTTAGACAATATCAATTGTCAGCAATTTTGTGAATGTAGATTCTCTGTTTTAGTCAATTCTCTGTTCAAAATTAAAACTTTTGAACAAAAGGAATGAATTAAAATTATGGGTCAACTATAGTTCTTCGAGTGATTGCTCATATCGATTCCAATTAGGTGTGTGCGCGCTGCGTGCACAGTCATCGGAAAGATTTTCCCCTAGCAGCACCCGTCAGGTTGGCTGTGGAGCCCCCTGGAGTGGCGCCTTCATGGCGCTCAATATATGACCCTGCCAACCTGGCGCCTCCTCAGTTTCTTCTTACCACCAGCGATGGTTGTTGGAACTGTGGCGTCTTGCTCAGCAAGTTCTCCATGTTTCCCTAGCTCTTTATTTTTCTCTCTGTTTCTTATACCTTTTTAATTTAGTTTTTATTTTAGTACACCTCTACCTCGATATAACGCTGTCCTCGGGAGCCAAAAAATCTTACCGCGTTATAGGTGAAACCGCGTTATATTGAACTTGCTTTGATCCACCGGAGTGCGCAGCCCCGCCCCCCCCCCACCCCCCGCAGCACTGTGTTACCGCGTTATATCCGAATTCGTGTTATATCAGGTCACGTTATATCGAGGTAGCGGTGTAGTAGTTTGTAGCAGTTGGGCTGGGGGTTTTACCCTCTATCCCGACCGCTTTTACTTGGGAGGGCTTTCATGCCCAAGTCCCAGCAGTTCAAGCCCTGGAAGTCCTGCTCCAAGCCCATGCCAACGGGCGACCCCCACTGCACTTGTCTGAAGTGTCTGGGGGAGACTCACCAAGCCAATAGGTGCAGGATTTGCAAAGGGTTTCACCCCAGAACCAAAAAGGAGCGAGACTTTTGCCTTAAGCAGCTCCTTATGGAGGCGGCACTTAGACCTCAGCCTCCATCAGTGCGGCAGGACCCGGCACTGAGTTCTTCAGTGCGTAGCACCCCGGTGGCAGTGGTGGAAGCGGCACCACAGACGGACTGTAGCAGAGATCCACGCTCCCCAGCACCGAAACCGACGGGATCAACCCAGCACCACTCCCACTCGGCGACGGAGAAGCAGCACCAGAAGCAAGGGAGGAGTCGCTCTCCATCCCAGAGGCCCGCTCGTCTGGAGCCAACCAATGGGGCGCGTCCTTATGAGGAGCGCCCAGCGCTGAAGCCTGCAGAGACCGCACCATTGACTTTGTCCCTGCAAGGGAGACAATGCCTTTGGACAGTGCCTTTGGACTTCCTGGCACACATCATTGAGGAGGTGGAGCTGCCATCCGCCCCAGACACCTTTGCAGCCACAAGGGACCTCATCGCCATGACAGCGCCGAGGTCGCCTACGATTTGAGCCAAGCCTCCGGTACCACATCATATGGCACCGTCTCGAGGCAAACCAGCGATGATCCAGCCGTCAGCACTGCTGATGGAGTCCCAGCACCGCTCCAAATTGCACCAGCGCCCCTGATCGCGATGCCGATCCTCAGGTCGGTCCCCTTCACGCAGCAGGTCCCGCACCCAGCACCAATCCCGACTCCTCCCGACGACCCCGCATAGCCCCAGCCTCGCGGCACCGCTCCCTAGCCTTGCGGCACCACTCACCAGCTCAGCTCCACTGGGCACCGCCCTGGCCGTCACGGTCCCGGTCCTTGGACTTGGGATCTAGGTATTCGGAGTGGGGCCGGCACTGGTCAGGTCATGAACACTCTGAGGTGGGGGGAGGGCTGTGGCCTGTGCAGTGGCAGGGAGCAGCTCAGTGGCCATTCTGGACCCTGTGGGCGTACCACCAGGCCCAGGGTGCCCAGTCTAAAGGCTCCTGATCGGCCACTTCTGAACCGAGGGTGCCGGAGACCTCAGCTAGTTGCCCCAGCCCTAGGGGTGCTGAGGAGGTGCCGTGCTGCCGCCCCCCTCCCCCCCCCCCCCCCCCCCCCCCCCCCCGAACCAACTCCAACTTCGGTTCCTGAGCCTGGTGGAGCAGATCATCAGGCTCCTGATGAGCAGGAGGGGCAGGAGGACCCTGTTCCCCCATTAGCCTCTTCATCCTTCTCCCCAGACAAGGCCGTCGCAGGCACTTTCATCTCTCGACCACCTCCTATAGACAGTTGCACCCACCAGGACCTTCTGCGCAGGGTGGCACGCAACATGGGTCTTCAGGCCGAGGAGGTGGTGGAGTCAGAGGACCAAGTGGTTGACATTTTGGCCCCAGAAGTTCCTTCGAGGATGGCTCTGCCCCTCATCAAATCTATACAGGACAATGTCAAGACCATCTGGCAGACTCTGGCCTCCATCCTTCCCACAGCCAAAGGTGTTGAGAGGAAGTACTTTGTGCCCTCAAAGGGGTAGGACTACCTTTTATGCACCCGCAGCCCTGTTAATTGGTGGTTGTGGCAGTAAATGAGAGAGAGAGATAGAGCAGGGGCAGCAAGCCCCAGCACCCAAGTCCAAGGAAGCCAAGCGCCTGGACTTGTTTGGGTGTAAAGTGTACTCTACGGAGGGGGGGCTCCAGCCCAGAATTGCCAACCAGCAGGCAATTCTGAGCCAATATAACTTCAACTCCTGGAACTCGATGCTCAAGTTCAAAGAGCTCGTGCCACTTGAGTCTAGGGAGGAGTTTGGAGCCATAGTAGAGGAGGGCCAGGCCGTGGCACAGACCTCTTTACAGGCCTCACTGAGTGCTGCAGACTTGGCAGCACGCACCGTGTCCTCGGGTATTGCCATGAGGCGCATCTCATGGTTGCAAGCCTCAGACATACAGCCCAAGGTTCAGCAGACAATGCAGGACCTGCCTTTTGATGATGTGGGCCTGTTCGTGGAGCAGACTGACTCGGTTGCATAACCTAAAAGACTCGAGGCCTACTATGAAATCCTTGGGGATGCATGCCCCGGCAACCCAACGGAAGCATTTCAAGCCCCAACAGCCTCAGCGGAGCTCCTACCCTCCTCGGCCAAGGCAGGACTTTTACAGAAGAAGGGGAAGGAACGGCAGAAGGAAGCCTTCCAGCCCCTCTTCCGGACAAGGCCAGGGCCTGACCAAACCATTGTTGGGTTCCAAGCAGGCCTTTTGAAGGGATGCCCGAGGACGGTGCACCAGACTCATTCCCAGATCCTTCCCTGCCCTTTTTGAATCATTTGTCCCACTTCTGCCGTGCCTGGTCCCAAATAACCGCGGATCGCTAGGACCTCAGCACGGCGGAAGTGGGATACTCTCTCCAGTTCTGTTCCTCCCCTCCTCCCCACCCCCTTTCCCCGTCCCTCTTCAGGGACCCCTCTCACGAGCAACTCCTTATCCAGGAGGTGCAGGTGCTCCTCACCATGGGAGAGGTGGAGTAGGTTCCTCAGGAACTAAGGTGCAAGGGATTCTACTCCCGATACTTCCTAATCCCGAAGGCCAAAGG